TGATAGTTAGATAGATAGATAGATAGGCAGATAGATAGTTAGATAGATAGATAGACAGATAGATAGATAGACAGATAGATAGACAGATAGATAGATAGATGGATGGATAGATAGATAGATAGATAGATGATACTCAAGGTGTATCTAATGCACAACATGCACCTGGTGAACATGCTTCACTGATAGATTGATCGATAGATGATAAATGAGCCATAGGAGCGAGGAGCTCTAGGAGCCAGGAGCCATAGAAGCCACCAGGAGCCACCAGGAGCCGCAAAAGCCACCAGGAGCCACAAGGAGCCAGGAGCCACCAGGAGCCACCAGGAGCCACCAGGAGCCACCAGGAGCCACAGAAGCCACCAGGAGAGGAGGAAAAAAAAAAATACCCCCCCCCAAAAAAAAAAAAAAATTAAATTACCCTCCGACAATAATTATCAAATTGACGTGATGACATTCATCCAAATTCAGGATGATTGGTGGTTGGGACTATTGAGATCTATTATGTCCAGATCTTTTCCTCATGAAACTCCAATGTTTGGAACTTTGGCTTTGAGTGACAGGATACTGTACACAGCTGGTCCGCAACAAAGACTCGAAGCCTTGGCGGAATGTAGTTGAGATAATCCATTCAATTTTTGGTTCCCATAATTCATAGGGGGTTGATGTGGGTTTATTCTTGAGGAGAGGAGATTAGACTTGACAAAAACAGCCGGCACCTCAAGCTCTTGACGCCAGCGATGTGCCAAGGTTCGCAGTTGAAGCCGTTCTCCTCCAAAACATGCGCTGCTTGGTGCCATGACCCTTGGCCATTTGACAGTGCGGAATATAGGGAAAGGTAAGGAGATCAAAAATTATATAATGAGACACACTTGGCCCCCGCAGTGCTGCAGAAAGCAAACTGTTCCTCTCTGGAGAGATAGGCTTGAGACGTGCTCAGCAGTGTTAGCTGCTTTTTTTCAAAACTCGTCTTCACAAATTACCATTAACATCATTAACAATCTTCTATAACCTGAAGGCATCTAAAAGTGCAGTAAACAGGCTATAATACGACTGAATGGTGGTCGGCAATTCTGATTCACCATGTAGGCATTCTACGCTCTTCTTCTAGGCATTCTAAGGTTTCGTTTGCAATTTTGGCGTCCAGGAGCACAGGACAGCCCTGTCCTAACCCGAAGAAGGTGAAGCAAAGTGGAAACGGAAAATAGGCATCCTTGGCAGAGCTTAGTGGCCTGCGAAACCTTGCAGAACAATGTGCATCAAGGCGCATCATGCAACACCTATATGTCACATCTTGGATATATCTATTTATTTACTTACTTAATTACAGTACTATATATCATTATAGGATATGACTTGACAATGATATGATATGTGCATACACAGTGCGTGGACTACCTTGTTTACACACACCCTTAGTACAATTGCATTAGGCAAAGCACAGTGCAAAAATAATAATCTCGAGCGGAGGCGCTCTGCCTTATGGCAGCCCATCGAACATGGAATTGAATCGCTATTTAAACACATACTCAGAAACTTGCACCAATGGCGAAGAACAACCAAGTCGAAATTCGAAACTCTTGCATATGCACCCCTGATCACCGCTGCAGTCTATGTGCATGGGAATTCCAGCCAACTCCAAACAACTCCCATTAAGTCTGACATTGGCTGTTGCTGTTTCTGCTGCCATGTCACAGACATGAAGTCTACAGAAGCTGTCGCCTGAAGGCTGCGCGACTCTCATTGGCCCTATGCCATCTGCGCGCCCCCAAATCTACTGTTTACAGTACTTAATTATCATGTTCCCCATGAAACTGGCCATCTAGATCCATGTAGGGGGTACACATCCCATGTTCAGGCAAATCCATATGATCCATATTGAAACAAGCTCGGAGGTTCACTGCTGGGGGTCCCCAACATATAGCGATTACCGGCAAAGAACTTGCAGCTTCATAGGTCGGTTCCTTAGTTTCCTTCCGAGAAACTCTTGTCCGCATGGGATGTGCGGCTCAACCGCTGCCTGATGCACAAGGCCCAGTGAAGCAAAAGACGACCTCCGCAGAAGTTTGGAGCAAGGAGCCAGGCGGAGACAAGCAACCCACACCTTCTGGCCCTGTTTGAATGTGAGTAGGGCCGAACAGTACCAGCAAATGACTATGATAAATCGTTGCTTCACATAGCTTCACCATTGACATTTTGGCGCACCTCAAGTGGAAGAACGGGACATCTGGCGACCTTTGGATATCTTGAACCGAAAAGGTGGCAGCAGAATACTCATCTGCAGGGATGTTTAGTCATCCGCAGGGATAACGCCCCGTTAAAATCAATTATATACTGTGTATTATATATCTATTATATATATAATTTGATTATAATTTGTCTATAATTTCTGGATTTGTTGCCCACTTCTCACATGGAAAACAGCTCGAATCGAGGCTTCAAATATTATTGCACCCCTTGTTAGGAAGTTGCTTGGAAGAAAGCACTTAGATGTTTTGCATGATCCACTCCATAATCTTGCACCGTTTCCATCCACTTTGGACTCTTGAGATATCCTGTGCTGCAAAATTATATGCACAACAGCACCGCATTAGTAGTGAAGTTGGGTGTGCAGCATACTTACATGAACCAAACAAAACAAAAATATCCATCCGCTGCACCTGCTCCAAATTCTCCGCAGCCTCATAGCATCGAAGGACACAAGTCGCTGGCCCCACAGCAGTGACATAATTTCAGATATTGAATCTGTTTCAATCTCAAACAGTTTCACACCCCTCCCATAAACAATGCTACTTCCATTGATTTAGTGAACAATCCCCCATCAAAAATGCTACTTCCACTGAGTGAACAAATGTGAACAATATATAACAATATTGGTGAATATATAATATTAAATAATATTATATAATGATGAACAAATAAATCAAACACATTTTGAACCACCTCGTCCCTTCCCAGTCGCGACCCATCCAACTGCGCCCGACCTGACGACTTCGAGCTCGAGATGTTCTGGCTGCAGCCTGGCCACGGCGCCCCCGAGCCAACAGGTAAGACCTGGCATGACTTAGCAGATCTTAGCATGAGCTTCCACGCAAAAGGAATTTATATATTATATATCTATATAATCTATATATATAATATATATATATATATATCATTATAATATATCATTATATATCCATCTATCTTACATAACTTATGACTATACAACTTGCAACTATTAATTAATGTAGAATATAATATCTTTTTGAGGACGCGCGCATGTCCTTTTGAATGTGCAAAGCTAGTTGAGGCCATCCTTGCAAAGAATGTCAACCATGGCGTTGTGCCATTTGACAAAGCATGATACAAGTGCTGGGCTCTGAGATGCACCCCAAACTCCAGCGAACAACACCTGGACTACGTACATCCAATATCATCCAATATAAATCGCGTACGTTTTTAAAAGGCTTCACTCTTGCGGGACGCATCTTAGGATGATCAACCGACAACTTCTTGCAAACGCAGCATAAGGCAGCGCTGACCCGCCGAATGATGACAATGACGCGGATCCTTTGAAGCGCCCTACAGTGCCCTACAGCAAAAAGGTCTGCTTGGCTGGCGGCTCCTCAATGGGGCTCATCTGAAGAAGAAACTGCACATCCTGATGCACACGATCGCACACGCGACTGCAGAGTTTAAGATGGGTTAAGGCTAAGGGATTTTCTGTGGTTGCCCTTAAATCTCCGAAGCGAGTCAAAATTTGGAGAAACAGTACCGTACAGAATGTAGATTCATGTCACATTATTGCATGTAATTGCATCATACCATACCAAAGAAATCCATATGAATCCATACAGTCAGTAATATTCAATATCATGCAGCAGACCATGCTCTTGTCACTCTTGTCTCCCAATTTGTCATTCTCTTTGCGTCATCAAGGTGATGACCTAACCACCTTCAACAGTTTGGGGGTTGCAAATGGGCAACAGTCAAAAGGGACTCTCTTGAAAAAAAAGGGGTGGTTTATGGTGGTTTACTACAATCTCATATGTCTATGTGGTCCCTAAATGAGCCATCAATTTTCTGGATCTTCTTGAAGCGAGACGGGAGCTACGTGAATGCTCCATCCAAAAGTATCCAATCCTACACGGATTTGTGCAGGGTCTTTCTAAGGATTAGGGCTTTGTAGGGCAGGAACTTCATTCCATTCCCAGTCACTGACAGTCGCACTCAGCCTGACTAAGCTGCAGCTGCGCTACCGTTGTGAAAAGAGCAAAGTCAAAGATCTTGGGCACATGGATGTCCCCTTAGTTTCCAGTTCCATGTGCAAAACAACCAGCCCCCACGTCAGATGCAGAGTATTGAAGGGTGGCGCGCACACACACACACACTGAACCCCCATTATCATACATTATCCCAATCTGCCCAAATATCTGCTTGATTCTACTGACTTGTATATCTTGTATCACTTTATGACATGTTCAATTTATTCATAGCATGTCATAGCCGCCTGCCATGGCCTGCCATTTTTTGTTGCCCATCACATCCCATCACTGCTGAGTCACGAAGGCAGGCGACAGCTCCATCCAGAAAGTCATGGTGCTGCTCCAGGAAAGGGGAACCACCCACAGAGACCCGCATCTGCACGCGGCTCCTCCGCAGGTCGAACACGTCATTCTCGAAAGAGGGACTTGGGCCACTTGGGCCACTTGGGACTTGGGCCCTATTGCGCCTATTGCGATGACATGATGGCTGTGTTGGAAGCATGATGATTTTCCATCAAAAACCATGGGCAATAGGACGGTGAGCCTTGGTGGGCCTGTGCTGTACGACGAAATCTCCTCCATGTTCCGCTAAAATGACACCATGCGCCTCCTGCCAGCCACTGATCCAACCAATTTCACCTCGATGTAGCCTTTCCCATTCGCTGTGGCGAAGTTGCCACCAGTGACCTTCAAGTGGCTCCCAAGGAGTTCATTTGATGGGGACAACCCGACGAGAAAAGCAACAGCGAGAAAAACAGTGGCAAATATGGCAAAATTGAGCGGGAATCAAAAACCCACCCTCTGGAATATCATGGAATATCCATGGGAATCTCTTTTCTGCTAAAATTCGCACTAAATATCAAATAGCAGTCAGCATTCCCATGAGAAAAATATAAAAACAACGATTTAACAAGCACTTGGGGTGTGAGGTTTAGCACCATGCATTTGACAACTGGTTTTGTCTGAAAATTGGGGATGGACCAAAATGGCAATGTTCATTCACAGGATTTCGGATGTTTTAGGCTTTTTCTATGGCACCCGAAGATCCTGAAGTCTTCAAACAGGGACCCAAATTTTGAGCCAATTTCACCGGACGGATGATGATCTTGAAGTCTGCACCACCCCCATGCTCATCCAGCTCAACAAAGAAGGAGGGCGAGATCAGTTGCCGATCTTTCCTGGTGACGTCATGGCGAAAGGCTGGGAGATGCTGGGAGACACCAAAACCCGAAAAAAAAACTATAGGTCAACAAATCAACAACTATGTCCAAAATCCCAAAAGCTATAGGTCAGCGTTTGGATTTTTTGAGGTCTTTGCGGGAACATTTCTGCTATCTAAAACAGGGTTTCCTGTCAAGCTCCCTTCATTCAATTCTTGGAAACTTAGGGGATCACCAAGTGTATGGCATGGGAACCGCGATAAAATGTCTGCAAAAGCACCAACCGCAACCAGTCTCTCTTTGAATTTCCGGATGGGCACAGTCCACGAAAAAACACCATCTGCAAACATTTTCTTCGAGGGCTGCATTGAATCAACCTGGCAGTGACCGTGTCCAGTCTGGCAGGAGCCTATGGAGATCTTATTGAACTCTGTCCGTTTGTTGGTGCTGGCTAGTCAAAGCCACCCAAAATGCAAAAGCCAACAAAAGAGCACAAAAGAGTATACGATACTGTATCTCAAAATGTGATGAACATCACTGCCTGGTATGTTAGGCCAACAGTCTTGTATCCAACCATGTCTAACTAATCTTCTTTGTTCCTGTAACTGGATGGCAAACAATGAATTCTCCGGCCGACGGATTCACATCCCACATCATCCCACTGCTTCAGTGCACTTTAGCCCCTCGTGGATGAGTTTCATCTTCTGATTGGATGATATGCTCGTATAAAAGAACTCTGGACAAGCCTAGGGATTTGACTGATCCACCAAAACATGATCGTCATAAATGGTCATGATATACAATCATGAAGTGTGAACTCAAGCAAGCAGTGGGGATTTCACGTGAAATTTGAAGCACAATATCCTTTTGGAAATAGCTCCCACAAAATATGTGGCCCCAAAGTATGACAAATCAAACCATTGAAATGAACGAAACACATCAAAGTTCAGTCATTGAGTTCCAGTGCCACCCAGACACATAATCTTGGGCCAAAAGCTGCACCATCCGATCTCTGCCAAACGGACATGGTGCTGCTGTTATTGGCTGCGGTGGACGCCGCATGGCAGCGCACAACTGCCTCTTCTCGCGCAGAAAGCCGAAGGCTGGACGACCATCCGCAGTCCCGCCAGCACTGGACCCTCCATATCCGGCATTGCTGCTGGCTGACCTTGAAGATCGATGAACACCAAAATCACCCAAAGAAGCCGGAAAAAAAAACTGCATATATCTCAGGTACGGTATTATATGGAGGTTTCCATAAATCGGGGTACCCCAGTAGCTGGATGGTAATGGACAATCCATGAACATCCTTGAAATGAAATCATTTCAAATAGATGATCACTGGAGCTACCCCATGACTTCGAAAACCTCCATACGATACCCAGTGCCCTGCCGCTTCATCGCCACGCTGCTTCTCGCTCGCCCAGCTCGCCACACTCGCCGCTCCAGCAGACATGACATGGCGAAGCACCTCCAGCCTCGTGAGAGACTGAGAGACTGAGAGACTGACTAGGTATAACATTGTATTATCCCATTACTATCATATGATTGTATTATATATATAATTATATATTTAGTAATATATATATATAGTTAAGGTTATAGTCTACAGTATCTTGACGTATGATATTTCATTATATATAATTATATATTTGGTTTCTATATACTGTACAGCATAATCATGTATATATTATCTACAGACTGACTAGGGACTTACTCTACAGTATCGGTGTAATTGGTGTGATTCTCACCCTCAAGCCCAACCTCGACCAATCCCTTGGGGGGCTGGGATCCCCCTCAATGAATCCATGTGACTGGCCACCTGTCGACGCATAGTGCTATGGCATGCTATGGCTGTGACCAGCTATGAAAGCCTTGGTGTCGATTTGTAACTTTAATATACTTTATATAATATCACCATATATCACCAGACAAACGGCTCCGACTGCAGCTGACAAAAGAAATCCCATCAGCTTCAAGGATTTCATGGCGCTGATATCCCATCCAAGCAGCTCGGCATATGAGGCGTCGTCTTTTGATGCCCCGCTCATGGTCCATACCTGGCTACTTCTGGATTGTGATCCATTGCTGTCACCCCTGTGAATCACATGGAATGTCCGCGCGCTCTCTGAGACGACACTTTTGTGTGTGTGTGTGCACATATGATTGAGATTTGCTAGGAAATTTGTGTCATGGAGCTCCTTTGATCCACTCCAGAATCTTCAGCCGAGTTTGCTGGGCACACTTCTTGGGATAGGAATGGGCATTGAAGCAAATATGAAATGCAATGATGCTAAAGCATGCCAGTTTCCAATTGTTTCCCGGGGTTCCAAGAACTTCAAAATGGGCTTGAACATGCTTGAATTACAACACCGCCAATGTCCACCCCCCCAAAGGCCTGAATTTGAAAGATCTTGGCACCATCCAGCACACACACTCCGGCAACTGAGCAAATTATGAGTGTGTCTGTGTGATTTTTTCTGTCTGGCGGGGATCTGGAGAACCATTCGGTCGTATTCGCCACTTTCAGCTTGATAGTTGATGATGCCTTTGTGATTACACACAACGGTTGCTGCCGGTTGCCTGTTAAATCCTGATAAAGCTGTGATTGTTTTAGACTTCAATTATCTTTGATGTAAATGCATGTAAATGCAGTCTTCTTTAGAAAGGACCAACGGTCTTTGATACAAGTCTCATACTGTTTGCACATGACTTGGGAAGTTTTGCCTGGAGCATCGTGGAATTTGAAAGAATTGCATAGAATTCCGACAAGCTGATGTAAGACATTGGTGAAGCCGCGTCATCTGAAAAGCGCCGCTGATGATCGCACGGTATCGACATCAACAACGAAAACTTTTCAAGGAGGCCTCAACGAAAAAAACAGAGGTGGCAGCTCACTGCAAATCGCCTTTGCAGTATCCTGCTGTTGTCGCTGTTTGGCACTGAGACCAACACGTGACCTCGGACATCGACAATCGCTGTCTCGAGTTGGTGATGTAACGATGGCTTCAACCCATCCTCACCAAAGATCTGTCAATTAGAATCCTTCCAGACATTCTACTATAGTAATCTATAGTAGGTAAGGCCAAACATGGTTGACATTTCCGGCCCCATGTGGTTATACCGAATTGGGGCTTGACCTCAACCCATAAGGCCAAAAAGGAGTACGGTACTGAATGTGCTGAGATTTTGAACAGTGGGTGCACAACTAGAAACTAGGCTTCTACCACGGCATGTGCTCTTCTGAAATAGTCCTACCTGCGTTCCATCAGTCATTTGAGTCAATTATAGCACAAGTAGGAAAAATATGCAAAAGTACTTCAAGTCCAGTGGGTGGAATGAACTTCAAGAAACTGTGACAGAAGCTGCAAGTCTCCAACACAATCAACAACTACCGCGCTGAATCTATCCATGCAGCAAACCCCAACCCTTGCCGCCTGCGGCTGGGCGCTGCTTCCACGGCACCATGCTGGCAAGTGTCCCGGGCGGAACTCTTGACCACCGTGCTATCAACTGAATCGAACAACGCCACACAAACAGTAATCAAACATGATGTGGGGAAATCCACCATTTGTACCTTGCAAATGATTTGCTAAGCAAATTTTGCTTTGACCTAAGTAGTGGAGAAATGACAATGGATGCTGGATGATAGTGCTGATGATGATGATGATGATGATGGTGGTGATGATGGTGGTGGTGATGATGGTGGTGATGATGATGATGATGATGATGATGATGATGATGATGATAATGACGATGAGGATGATAATGACGATGAGGATGAGCATGAGGATGAGGATGAGCATGAGGATGATGATGATGATGATGATAATGATGATGATGATGATGATGGTGGTGGTGGTGGTGATGGTGATGATGATGAGGATGATGATGATGATGGTGGTGGTGATGATGATGATGATAATGATGATGATGATGATGATGATGATGATGATGACGATGAGAATGATAATGACTATGAGGATGAGCATGAGGACGATGAGGATGAGGATGAGGATGAGGATGAGCATGATGATCATGATGATGATGATGATGATGGTGGTGGTGGTGGTGGTGGTGATGGTGGTGGTGATGATGAGGATGATGATGATGATGATGGTGGTGGTGGTGATGATGATGATGACGATGAGAATGATAATGACGATGAGGATGAGCATGAGGACGATGAGGATGAGGATGATGATGATGATGATGATGATGATGCTGATGCTGATGCTGATGTTGATGCTGACGACGAAGACGACGAAAACGACGACGAAGACGTCGACACTCATCACTGTGACCATATCTGGCACCTGCGCCTGGTTCAACCAGCTCTCAAGCTCGGACCTGACGAGAAGGATTTTTTTGTGAGTCTGGACCCCCGTGCCTGCAGCAGAGAAGGCTGGAGTCCAATTACGAATCTGTCCAACTTCTTGACGGTCAGAGTCAAGTCAACTAATTCGCATCTCTAGTCATGTCTCGTCTTTCCAACCAGCAGCCGCACTTATAGTCAATAGTCCCTTCCCAAAGATTCCACCTTAGGCGCACAATTTCGGCTTCCTTGGCCTTTGCAAACGTTCCAAAGCTGAGCATGGCTGTGGAAGGTCTGTGGTTGATGTGTTTTGAGAGAGCTGTGCACACTGCTTGGTCTTCCTTCTGCATTCCAATTGCATCCAAAATGATAAAAAATGACAAAAGCGTTCTACTGCATGTGGCTGCCCAAAGGCTAAGTGATTCACAAACTATGGTTTTTGAAAGGGCCCCACCAACCATCTGCAATGGCCAGGATACTACCTAAAAATCCATGTAGATACAGTACTGTCCCCTTTGGATGTACAGTACATCATCTAGCCTCTCGCAGCCTAACCCTGACCTCACTACAAAAAAACCTCTCATACAACTAAACAACTTGACATCACCAACCATGATGCCCCATCATTTTCCCATTAGAAGTCAGGCGATTTCCCAGCCAGCTGTGCTGGACAGCCAGGGGTAGATGAAATTGATCAAGGAATCTGCAAACATCGGTGCCTCTAAGAGCTGTTCGCAGGCGCTGGTGCGGCCTGATCATATCCCAGTATCATCCAAGATCCTTGAAACCACATGTCTAGGAAATGCTGGGAACATCTTGGAACCAGCGCCAACTGTTGACCCTTGGAGTTGCACTTCCAGCCTTGCAACCTTCGGCTGGAGAAAGCCCTTGATGTGCGGAAATTCCCAACCGCCATGCCCTGTTGGCCAGCATGGAGTCTAGACTCTGCTTCCATCAAATCCCAGAAGTCAACCGGGGGAAACTTCCGTTCTCAAGTCAATCGAAACTGGTCTTTTGATTTCACTGATCGAAACTGTTGTGAGCCCGTGAGCCGCCCTTGCACAGATCTTTTCACGAGCCAACTCTTGGGTTTCCAGGCCGAGCAAGACATCAACAACAACTCTTTTTGGCACTTCCTAGCCATAACATGTAGTTCAACCAGAGTTGGCTTCCTTCCATTTCTTGTATGATGAGACTACGGGGTACCGAAGGTTTGACAAAGCGTTGCTGTGATGCCTTCTCGCGGCAAATCTCACACCTCTCTTCGAGAAGGTGGCCAGTGGCGCCATGCAAGAAGCACAAGTTTGTGGATCATGTTGGTGGCTGATATCTTTAATATTATGCTAGATAGTAATATTTGAATATCAGTATACTTGTTAATATTAACAATATTTGAATATTTTGGTGGCTGATAATTCTGATATTCAAATATTGTTAATAACATATATATATATATATATTCGAAGGAAGTTTAGAAGTGAAACTTCCGACAATATGGACAGTTGAAAAGCAGAGGTGAAAAGAGTCAGAAGAGAAAAGATCAGAAGAAAGAAGATGCAGATGCACGAAAAGGTAGGAAAGTCGCGATTCACTGTGTTTTTCCAATGATTTGTGGCTCCGGAGGGTCGAAAAGTAGGCTCGCTAAAGCGGCGGGTGCGGAGCCAGCTGGCCAGATGAGACATGAAAAAGTGCACGCCGTTGTGGCGCGAAGCACAGTTCCAAGTCAAAATGTACAAAACACTACATGTTCGCGCCACTTTTGGAGGTTCAGATGTCGAAAAAGTGCACGCCGTTGTGGCGCGAAGCACATTTCCAAGTCAAAATGTACAAAAACACACCATGGTCGGACCACTTTTGGAAGTTGCGATGTCGAAAAAGTGCACGCCGTTGTGGCGCGAAGCACATTTCCAAGTCAAAATGTACAAAACACACCATTCTCGGACCACCTTTGGAGGTTCAGATGTCGAAAAAGTGTCGAAAAAGTGCACGCCGTTGTGGCGCGAAGCACATTTCGAAGTCAAAAGTGTAAAAAGCACCAGGGGTTCGGACCACTTTTGGAGGTTGCGATGTCGAAAAAAGTGCACGCCGTTGTGGCGCGAAGCCCATTTTCAAGTCAAAAGTGTTAAAAACTGACGGTCTCGGACCACTTTTGGAGGTTCAGATGTCGAAAAAGTGTCGAAAAAGTGCACGCCGTTGTGGCGCGAAGCACATTTCGAAGTCAAAAGTGTAAAAAACTGAGGGTTTTGAGCCTTTTTTGACGTGAAGATGTCGAAAAAGTAGACACTGCTTAACTTAACTAACTTGACTAACTTAACTACCCTAACTTCGACGACAACAGCAACAGCAACAACAACAACAACGACAACGACAACCACAACAACAACAACAACAACAACAACAACCACAACAACAACAACAACTACTACTACTACTACTACTACTACAACTACACTACACAACGACTACAACCACACAACAACTACAGCTACAACAACAACAACAACAACAACTGCAACTGCAACTACAACTACAACTACAACAACTACAGTTGCAGTACATCACACTACATCCAGCAGTTGTGGGTGAGGTGACCACTGCAACCATTGCAACCATTCCAGCAACACAACTCCAACCACCTTTCGGTCAATCAGTGGATTCGCTCTGCCATCCGTGATTCACAACAACCAACGTCTCCTATAGGTTTCCTATTCTGAAACTTCCGCCACCGCCTTGTGCGGTACTACTGGTATAGAAATACTGATTTCAAACGCGGTGTTTCGTATTGTACAAAACCCATTTATACCCCATGATGCCAAAGTCATTTTAAAGCATCGCAATAATGTTATAATATGATATGTATCACAATGTTTATAAATGTATGATTGTCTATGCTATGCAAACTTAAAGTGTTGGTGCCACGAATCGGTACTGCTATCGTGCTGGAACCTCCGGACCATGTGACAATCCTTGAATTCTTGACGCAACTCCTACAAGCTCCTGCTGGCTGCACCACTGAGGGGTCAACGCATCGCCAGGCTGATCGAACCAGGACCCGGTAGAATACTTTTAGTTATTATGCTAGTTCTCAAAAGGTTATCAAGGTGTTATATGCTGTGAAAATCCTACTGTAACCAAAGCAGTGGTGTGGCTACGTGTGACACATCTTGTCAGGTTCACTACAAGAAAAGAAGCATGTGGACACACCCACACAAAGGATTCTGTGGCAGGTATTGCCTTGGCCATGCCTATCAGCGAGATTGCACAAAACATTGATAACCATTCTAGATCTCAGCTTTATTTGGCGCACGCGGAACTTGATGGCCTCGTTTGGGCATGTCTTTATTTAAGTAAATATATTTAAGTAAATATATTTAAGTAAATATATTTAAGTAAATATATATACATATGTGTGTATGTGTTGTGTATATTTGATATATATATATATATATGCTACCCCCCCCTGATACCCACCTTGAGCGGCCTGCATGCGTGCAGAGCGAGCATTGACATGAATATGTTGAAGACATTTGCCAGCAGATGATGGATCAGGAAGGACATGAGAATCAGATTATTGAAGCAGATGATTGAAGCAAATAGGCGTGAAATTTACATAGGAAGCCCACAGATATGCGATGGCAGCAAAGTCAAGAAGGTTAGAACACAGCAGAAGGTGCTAGCAGCGACGCGCTGATTCTTTTGAACTCTGCCCCGCTGTGGTGGCTGGGCTCTCTAGGCCTTCAACAAGCAAGAACCACTGAACAAGAGAACCCGTTGCCAACCACAGATCGTGCCCCCTATGCCAGTACTCATACTGAGCAGAGCGCAAACGGATGCGCAGAAGACTGCTGCCAACTTTGCAGTTCTGGTTGATGTTCAACCGGTCTTTGAGGAAACGCCAGCATCTGTCAATGATCTGGGTGCCCTTTTTGACTGTGATTGCCTTCTTGCTGCCGGGGAGGACATGCTCGTGCAACTCCACATACTTTGGAGTGAGCCATTTCCATTCTCCATTGACTTTCACCCGCTTCTTTTTGTGGATGACCCGGTCATGGAGGACACCCTTGACTTTGATGGCATAACTTTTTGCCGAGTCGGTGTGGGGAATAATGTCACGGTGTTGAAGCCATTTCACAGCCAATGGTTGCCATTCAACTTTTCGAATAGCACCGGGGCCTGGAGCGCGAAGTTTGGAGATGACTGGCTTCAAGCGATGGAGGACAAGCGTCTGAGGTTTACCTCTTTGGACAATGCCGCACCGCTGCTCCCAGTGCAGCTGTCCATTCACGACCTTCTTGTCAAACGTGGCTTCATCGGCTTCCACGTCCTGCCATTTTCCACCTTGCCCAAATTTGATGTCCTTCTCCTTGTTCCTGACCCACCTTTCACGTAGCTGGCCTAATCTCTTCTCCATATCCTCAATGCTCTTATGGTTCACATGCAGGAGGCGATGGATGGTGGGGTGGGGAACACGGTTGAGCAGGAGCATCAGTAAACATGCCTGGGTGGCAAGCGGTGTAGAAGAAGAGCCCCAATGATCCACAAAAATGGGGTGAGCATGATGCGGGTTGATGTAGGTGTGGCATTTCTTGGCACTGCATCTATGCTTTAGTAAACCTCCAAGTTGTTGAAGGCCACCAAGGGTGCCACGGCAGCATCGCGGACAGACATGCCCTTCCCATTTATGAAGAAGTCCATCTTCACGAAGCATCTTCACCAAAGTAGATGGAGAGCTTTGCAAAATTTGTGCCAAGGAGCGCTTCCATTTGCAGCGGTCCATGCGAACTTCAGGAGCTGCATCAGGGGATCGCACATACTTCACTTGCTTCCATGCCTTGGTCTTCATGCTCGCAGGCCGTTTCAATACAGCACGTAGCTTACCTTTCTTGGGCACGGGAAAGTTGTTGAACTTGGACATGGCAAGGCGCAATTTCGGAGCTAGGCGGAAACCAAACAGCTATAACGAGTGACAAAATTGAATCAGACACTGAATTTGAATGAGCAATTAGGTTTGGTATGGTGCTGGTGGACTTGGAGTGGAATGATTTGCAAGCGCTTGCAAGCATGAGGGTAGACAAACTCAGTTCCGTTGACAAAAGAAGCTGTGGGACAAACTTTTTTCCCCAGATATGATCAATGCGATAGCTGTCTATCCGGAACGACAGCATGTACGCAAGCTATTGCACGTGAAGTACACGCACAATAAATTGGTGAAGCTACAGTAGCTACTCCTAAGCATCAAGAGTGCCTAGCGCATGAGCTGCCTCTTCATCTGCAGCGGCGT